TTTATTAGCAAAACGAGTAAGAAAGCTTGGCGGCATGGCATACTTGATGTTAAATAAAATAAATAAATGACACAAAGTTTAAATAAAGTAAAAATCAGCAAACACTGTGGAACCAATTAAATAAGAAATGAATGTTTAAAAAAACTTCCAAAATCACCTTAGATAAATGGCAAAAGTCAACAGGCTTTTCAAAATCCAAAATATTGTCAAACAGGCGCTTTTGCATTTCGTTTCGAAACTAAATAATCCGCGATCGTCTTGTCTGTCACCCCACTCTTCTTGTCAGTGAGCTCGACTCACTCTCCTCACTGGATAAATGAAATTTGATCTGTGTCGTTCGGCACGTTGCATTGAGCAGCCGCGTTCAGTTTTTAATTGTAGTGTCTGTTCTTTTACTGAACTAAATGATTTTTATTACTATAAAAAATCAAAACGACGGTGGGGGTCAGTGACGCGGTGGGCAAGTGACGTAACCGGTGTTGCGGCTCACTGTGTGGTATCACTGTCAGCACCGTCTATCGCGGCAAGCCTATCCTACATATGATCCTGTAATATTGCAGAACTTGTATATACTTATGCAGATCTTATATAAACTTGCATGTACTTGTACTCTTGTATACTTCTGGTCTTATATACTTTTTATTTAAATTAATACTTATATTCAGCAAGGACGCATTAAATGCAAAAGTGACAGCAAAGACATTTATAATGTTACAAAAATGTTCTATTTCAAATAAATTCTGTTCTTTTGATTTTTCTATTCTTCAAAGAATTCCAAAAAAAGTATCACAGTTTCCACATTTTCCACTATGGAATAGATTCAATTTGAAAATGTATTCAAATGTTTCAAAAAGAAACAGTTGTTTTAAATGGCAATATTAACGGTTTTTGTATAAATGCAGCCTTGATGAGAAAGTCTTATCAACATCAAACATTTGAATGGTAGTGTAGTAATTATTGTGTAAGAGGTTTAATTGTGTGCGTGTGTATTATTAACAATAAAATAAATATATGAACAATATGTGTATATATTAGCAATAAAAGCAATTATAAAAATTTTATTTGATTTCAATTGTTGTCATTATGGTAAGCTAGAAGAAGATGGCTTTATCCTAAAACTCATCACACTCATATTCTGTTGCAGGCCTGCTATGGCATTGTGAAAGTGCCAGATGGGAACTGGTTGTGTAGGACGTGTGTGCTTGGCATCAATCCCCAGTGCCTTCTGTGTCCTAAAAGAGGGGGTGCAATGAAGGCCACCAGGGCGGGCACTAAATGGGCTCATGTAAGCTGTGCCCTCTGGATACCAGAGGTGAGTTATGTGTCATAAGGATGGATTTACACCTGCATTATTGTTATGTTGTATGCTCTTGATGTTGTTTCATTAATAATATTACGAAATTGAGCTTTCTTTCCTATGACAGCATGTTTGTTGGTATTATTTAAGAGTATCATAGAGTTAACCGACATGGGCTAAAAGCCATAAAACTCCACTTTTGAGTTTATGGGGTCTTTTTAAGATAATTTGTATTTGTCTTTAGGTGAGCATTGCATGCCCAGAGAGGATGGAACCCATCACCAAAGTGTCTCATATTCCTCCCAGTCGCTGGTCGCTCATCTGCAGTCTCTGTAAACTCAAGACTGGAGCCTGTATACAGGTAATGCTTTATAGGGCAAAGAAGTGCATGAACATTTCTACTGATTAATTGGGTACAAGAATTACTCAGTAATAATAATATCAGTTTGAAAATGCATTATTGTTTAGTTGTATATAAGATCTTGGGAAAGAGAACTTCCTTCAGTGACATCATTTTGACAGTGCAAGAGAATGAGTGGTAGTGTTGATTCAAATTTTTTTGGATGTAAAATGCAAGTCTAATATTAATTATATTTTATTTTAATAATCAAGCAAGTAGTTATATTTTTGAGCAACTCGTGAAAAAAATGTAATTTTTACTCATTTAATTTTGAAAATCTATATGCTGTTCACAATGTAAAATTAATTTTTTTAACCTTTTTTTGTACACAATATATAGCATACATTTATTTTTATTTTTTCCCCTAATATCAGGGTTTCTGCAGGTAAAAAAAAAATTCTTAATTCACCCTTCCCCAAATTAAGGCCTTAAAAATGTCTTGAATCAGAGCTGTCTTAAATTCATAAATTCATGGCATTAAATGCTGCATGCACTGCCAAAATAATATCTTCCCTTGTATATTTGTCTTGTTTTCCAATACAAATATCTAAACATTCTTAGGGTTGTGTTTGGGTACAGAGATATTCATGCCTTAAGCTATTTTTTGTAAAAATGTAATGAAGATTGGTGTAGAAAGTTGTTTTTTCAAACTTTTGAAAAATTTACATTGAGAGAAATTATTAATGTATTATGTTCCTTTCAATTTACTCCTTAAAAGTTCTGAACTTGGTCTTAAAAAGGTATTTAAAAAGTCCCAAATTTACCTCTATAAATGTAATAAAATATAATCTAGGAAGTAAACTTCCCAATTAATTGAAGAAATAATTTTATTAATCTATTATCAAAATAATGACTTTCGTCTTCCAGACTGTTTATATATATATATATATATATATATATATAGCCTATATATATATATATATAGCCTATATACATATATAAACACTTGTCTCTCATCTTCCAGTGTTCGGTTAAGAACTGCACCATTCCTTTTCACGTCACTTGTGCTTTTGAACACAACCTGGAGATGAAGACCATCCTGGATGAAGGTGATGAGGTCAAGTTCAAATCCTACTGTCTGAAGCATAGCAAACCCAAAGCAGGAGAAGCAGGCTTGAGTCCGGCCTGTCATAAACCTCCCACTGAGACTGAGAAACTGGGCTTGAGGGCGCAGAAGCTTCAGGAGCTGGAGGAGGAGTTCTACACACTCGTTCATCCTGAGGAAGTGGCCCAAGACCTTGGACTGCCAATCAACCTGCTGGATTTTATCTTTCAGTACTGGAAGATGAAGAGGAAAAGCAACTTTAACAAGGCCCTGCTGCCACCTAAAGAAGATGAAGAGAACCTACTTTTGCAGCCACAGGAGGACAGCATCCACACACGAATGCGCATGTTCATGCATCTGCGGCAGGACCTGGAGAGGGTGGGTACTCTCGTCATCATGGATGAGATCCTTTTTTTTTCTTCTTCCTCAAGATCAGCTAATTGTCAAGAAAGTCCACAACTTGTCAATTTTGAAAATATGTAGTTTTGCACATACCCATTATCTCATTATGTAGTTCTTCTCAAATTAATAAATACACCGTTCAGCTGACTTATGTACATTACTTTTCAGAAGTTTTATTATTGCTTTTGAAAGATGTCTTATTCACAACAAGACTGAATTCATTTGATCAAAAATACAGTAAAAACAGTTAAAATAGTTAATATATAGTAACAGAATAGTTAAATATTATCACTTTTTAATATTAATAGTAATCCAATTTACATTTAGTCATTTAGCAGACTTTTATCCAAAGCGACTTACAAATGAGGACAATGGAAGCAATCAAAATCAACAAAAGAGCAATGATATACAAGTGCTATAACAAGTCTCAGTTAGCTTAATGCAGTACGCATAGCAAGGTTTTTTAAAATAATATAATAAATAAAAAGAAAACGTAGAATAGAAAAAGAATAGAGCAAGCTAGTGTTAGATGTCTTTTTTGCTTTTGTTAATTGTATAATAAATGAAAAGAAAACCGATAGAATACAAAAAGATTAGAAAGCAAGTGTTACGTTTTTTGATATTTATATATATATATATAATGTATATGTGTGTATATATATATATATAATGTATATGTGTGTGTGTGTGTGTATATATATATATATATATATATGTATATATGTGTGTGTAATATTCCGGTTGAGCCATTATCCAGTTTTCAATGTCACATGAACCTTCATTAATCATTTTAATATGATTATTTGATACATTTATTATCAGTGGTTGAAAATGTGCTGTTTAATATTTTTTAAGAAAGTTATACATTTTCAGGATTTTTTGATGAATAGAAAGTTTTTTTTTTTTGTAAAAAAAACTAAAAAACAACAGAATTTATTTGAAATAAATGCTTTGTAACACTTAATGTTCTTACTAGTTACTTTACCTGTGATTTAGATTAATGCATCCTTTCTGGGGGGAAAAAATGTATATTGTTTGACAGCACTAAATTATATATAATTAATTTCAAAGGTAGTTTAATGCATGCTTAAACTATTAGTGTTATGTTGTGAGTTTTTGATGTTATGTTCCTTATGTGTGTGTCATTTTGTCAGGTGAGAAACTTGTGTTACATGGTGAGTCGAAGAGAGAAACTGAAGCTGTCTCAGAGTAAAGCTCAGGAGCAGATCTTCAATCTACATGTCAAACTCATCAACCAAGAGTTATCTGCAGGTAATTAATGTTTTCTCTATTTATTTTATTATTTTATAATCAAATATAATATAATAAAAATTATTGAATTGAATTTTGGTTTTGTTTTATTTATTTATTTTAGTTATTATTGTTCCTGTGGCTCAGTGGAAGAGCATTGCATTAGCAGCGCAAAGGTCGTGGGTTCAATTCCCAGGGAACACGCATACTGATAAAAAATGTATAGCCTGAATGCACTGTAAGTCGCTTTGGATAAAAGCGTCTGCTAAATGCATTAATTTAATTAACTTTTTTTTGCTATTAGAATACATTTTAAATAATTTTATATTTCAGAAGTAGTTAAAAATGTATTTACATTTTTTAACTTTTAACTCTAGACTTGCCGGAGTTGAACAGGCATATATTGAAATCGCGCAGCTAAAATAATCTAATTAATTAAAAATAATTGTAATCTCATATAATCTGTTTTTTGACGTTCCAGCACCACTGAATAATTGACTAGCTTCTACTTCTATTTGCAGGGCTCCCAGTCAATGATGACAAAAGAAGCAATCAAAACCAACAAATGAGCAATAATAAGCAAGTGCTATGAATAATAAAACTGAATAAAATTGTGGGGTGAGTAAGATCTTAAAAGATCTTCAAGTTTTAATAAATCATTACTTTTATTCATTAAACTGATCAAAAGGGACATTTGTGAGTAGAAACATCTATAATGCTACAAAAGATTTCTGTTTTAAATAAATCCTGTCAACCTTTCTGAAGTTTATCACAGTATCCATACAAATATTAAATTGCACAACTGTTTTCAACTTCAATTATAATACATGTTTTTTGAGCACCAGGTCATCATATAATGTGATAAAAAAAAAATCTGCTTTGCCATCACATGAATAAATTACAAATAGAAAACAGTTTTTCATTTCTTATTGTAATATTTCACAATCTTACTGTTTTTACTGTATTTATGATCAAATAAATTCAGCCCTGGAAACTTTTTGACCCCAAACTTTTGAACAGTAGTATATCCACCACTTTAAATTGGGAGGTCATTTTCGTGTAAATCTCTAGAGCAGTAGTTAGTGTTCTGTCATTTTCCTTCAATCTCATTCTTCTCCCAGAGCCCTCTGGCTAGTCCAAATGGAAGTGTTCTCCACAGTTTTATTAATCTTCTCCGCTCCAGAAACCACCATTTCTGCACTCTGTGATGTTTCCTCAGGCTGTACCTTCCTCCTGCTGTCAACTAACACAATAAGAGAACTCGATAATCTGAAGGTTTATTCAGAGAAGTTGTGCTTACTGGTAATTGTATATTTGTGGAACAATTCAAGAGCTTGATTCTTAATGTAGGTGTGTTTGTGTGTGTGTGTGAAGCCACACTGCCCTCTATTTGTCTTCTAACAGTCTAACTTTCTTCAGTTTTAAATATTAAACTGAGTAGTGTATCATTCAATATTGCTGCCCATCATTTCCATGTCACTTCATCTGTCATCTGATGTTCTTTTCAAGCTTAACCAGTTTATCTTTGGACTCAACTGTTTTTCTTTTGGTTGAGCGGCTGCTGTATTAGCTGTTACAGCAGGACTTCAGTGCTGCCTAAGGCTTATTGATCATTTGAGGAAAAAGCTGAGTTTGACTCTAGTGTTAAACAAGCGCAGCACTCGCTCTGTTAAAAGAGAAATATAAATCATAGAAAGTAAAAGAAACATCCACTTCTGCAGCTTTATGTAAGTAACGGATGACATTCAGTCAGATAGCCATTATTGCAAAATAAACCCCCACAGCACCTTAGTGCTAAGTGGATGTTCTCTTTGATCAAATTCAAGTATTCCGGAGAGCCGTGAAATAACGTTTAAAATAGTTCTGATCATTATTATGTTGCTTATTTATAAGTTCTGTTTGCAAATGTATATCTTCATGACTGGTGCTAATGTAAATTACACTATAATGTTAATTGTCAGTGCAATTACTGTAATAGTAAGCACTGTAAGTAAAATTTTGTGTATTACCTTATTCTTATCGTAGATAACAATATTAATGTTTAATTTATTCAGCATCACTTTTGATCATCACTATTGCCGAGTGCTCTTTTTATAAAGCACTATGTAACCTTTCTAGTCATGGTTTAACAGTAAAGAACTAGCGTTCTCAACTGCGGCAATAATCCACCTGCTCTTGGAACACCTGCGTGTAATTTGAGAGCTCTCTGACTTTCATTGGCTGGTTCAAGCAGGTGTGTTTGAACAGAGCAGGACCTAAACTGGTAACTAGATCGCTATGAACAAGATTGGACACTCCTTGACTAGATGAACTTGTCCACATGAGAATTGAAAAACTGACAAAAGTAGGCTAATTAAGATCCCTTTCAATGAGGTCATAAACAAGAAGTATTAAACATTGTTGAAACACATGAATGACTAACCAGCTCTGAAACTTAATAATGAATGAAGCCTCTCACAACACATTTTTCAATGCACAGTGCCTTGAATTTAAAAGTACACTACCATTCAAAACAACCATTCTTTTTTTTCCCTGGAAATATATTAATAGCCTATTTCTAATCAGCAAGGATGCATTAAATTGATCATAAATTGATCATATTTAACTTGTCATAAATTGATTTTAAATACATTTTACTGAATTGTAAATAAATGCAGATTTGGTGATCAAAAGACGAATTCTTTCAAAACCCCTTTTTTAAAAACCCTTAGTTACAGACCCAAACTTTTGACCCCTTCAGTGTCTATACATATTGTATAACCTTTGTAAACACATTATCCAGTCCTAAACATTATATTATTACAAAGGAGAGATATGTAGCACAGTAAGGCTCTAGGATGGGATGTTTATTTTTCAAAAGCAGCTTGACACTAGAAAATTTACAGATTTTGTATTGATAACTGAAAATGTGTTTTTATCTATTCCTAAAGAATGAGTTTTGCCTGATTAGACTGATGTGATGGAAATATGCATCCATTAGGATCTTTCTATCACCATGTGAACAATCTAACTAGAGCCACTGAAGTGATTGCAGCTTGGAGCATAAACTACTTGGGTTCTGTATTAAAGGTGACATATCATGAAAATCTGACTTTTCCAGATTTTATGTGCTATAATCAGGTCCCCAGTGCATCTACCAACCAAGGAACCTTTGCCTTGGAAAGCCTTTTTCTGCAAGCGTCTGAGAAAACGAGCGCGTCTGATTTCGCTCCCTTGGTGACGTGGCAAAGCGATCTCAGAATATTACCGCCCTTAATCTGTAAAAGTTTACACCCAGGACGGTGTTGTGCCGAATTCTGCACCCCTGCCAGATTATGCACCCCCTCATTGAAATCGCTACCTGATTGCCCAATCCCAACCCCACCCCTAATCCTAACCCCTCCCCCACACCTAACCCTAAACCTACCAATACTAGGGGGTGCATAATCTGGCAGGGTGCAAATTTCGAGAGGGTGCTCGCTGCAGAGCCAAATGGGAGGAGCTGGAGCTCTAGCTCCCCCTCGCTGGATGTAATGGGTGGAGCTAGACACCCAACCACTCCCTAACCCTACCCCTTACCCTATCGCTAAACATAACTCCAGAGGTGGAGCTGGACATCTAGAGAAGAGGAGCTGGAGGTCATTTGGCTCTGCAGTGAGCAGTACTTGCAAATTTCGGCATTACACTGGCCGTTATTGTGTTTTCGCAAGCGACAATGGTGTACCAGTTCTAATGCCATGGCGAAAGTTTGAGCAAAGCATGCTAACTGTTCTGCATTTGTCTGCACAGACGAGCACAGAACACTATTTAGAGTCCCAGCCTCAGAGGAGACAAGAGCAGTGGATTTATTGATTTATTTAATGTATATTGCTGCTGCCACACAGATCTAAAACAAACATGCAATTTATTTACCAGCTGTTTACCTTCACAGACATAACTGACTGTTTTTGTAACTCATGTGTGTTTTTAACGTAAACTTGTTTGTAAATGAGAACTTAGTTTAGTACAGCCGCTTTCTGTCCGTGTGCTTCAGATGTGTGCACTCAGAAAACCATATATCAGAAGTTTAAACTCGGTTTAAAACGCATAATTTCAGGGCGATAAACATGATAATCAGAACCAAAACAGATGTTTTTAGCAGGTACAAGCTCTGATGGAGCAGCTTTATTCTGGAAAAGGGGGCGGGGAGCAGCAGCTCATTTGCATTTAAAGAGAGAGGCCCGAAAAACATCCTGTTTCTGCTTCCACTCAAAATGATCTGTGGAGTATTTTGAGCTGAAACTTCACAGACACATTCTGGGGACACCAGAGACTTATATTACATATTGTAAAAAGGGGCGTGATATGCCTCCTTTATTGTAAGGCACATTGGACTATTCTTATCACTGTTCGACAATTTGCATAATGTGCAAAAGCACTATTGCGCTATGGCTGAAGTACTATATTGTCCTGTTTTTCAAACTTTGTCTTTAAAAAGGCATTTGTGACATAATACATGACAAAGAAGCCCTTGAAGCCACTCCATGCTGGTCTTATAGAATTCCAGTGAAGTAAAAGGAAGGTCAGCTAAAGTCACTGACTCACTGCACCATAGGGAACTGGATTAAGTTGGCTTTGTCAAACTGAAAACAATAGCACTGCACAGCTGGAATGAATAGGCCTAGGTTCCATTACTTCTATATTTTCTTTTTTTCTTTCTTTCTTTCGTTAGTGGGTCTGTAACTGTTCAAATTAATCGCCATTAAAGTGTTAAAGAGACGTATCTTCTGTGTACTGTAATGTTGTGGTATTAGAGAAAGGTCCCGTGTCATCGCGAAACACTGTTTCTCTAATACTGAGGTCAGCAGTTTAGCATTCTGCCTCCCTCGCAGCAGCAGAGAGGAGCTGCATCACTAAAGAAAGCAATAGAGGAAAGTAAATTGCCCAACCAAATGTATCCTGTATTAACGAAAGGCGAAAAGTGTATTGACAGTAATTCATTGCGTGGACAATTGTCTTGTCATAAAGTATACTAGCATCTGCCTAAAAATTAAACCCCTCCGTCGTTCGAATCCTACTATGGGGAAGGTTTATGAATATTAATTAGGCAAGGCGACGACGCTTCCATTCGACCAGTCAATTCTCCTAATTAATATTCATGAGCCAAGCTGTCGCTCCAACGTCTGCCTTTCAGCCAATCATTTCGCCCTACGGGGAGAGCGTCTCGTTACGTCATTAATATTAATGACTCAAGCATTCACCGTAGTACGTTTCTAAAACTGTCAGACTGACCGGGTGGAGAATGCTGCGGACAAGTGCACGGTTTCTATCACCATTTCTTTTCTATAATATCGCTCCAAAAGACGATTTTTTTAAACGTCCAGTAATACGTTGATTTGTTTGATAATGGAAATGAAAGGGAAAGTCTGAAACAAATTTAATCTCATCATTACACCGAAGAGAGAGAGTTTCTTCCGGACTATTTCGTTTATCAACGCGGGATTTTGTTGTGGATACCCAGCCCGTTTCAACCTTGTGTCGCCAATGACAAGTTCAGCACCGCGTAACATCCATCTCGCTTTTACACGACCACCATGGAGCTTTGGGAATCATTGAAGGGGACGGATGTCTCGTTTCTCTTCAGCATCCGAGTCCTTCAGCATCAGAGTCTGTTGAAGCCGGTTTAACCTGTACTCACGTGGCAAGTGTACCGGATTAAAATAGTTTAACATCTTTGCTGAAATATTCTTCCTGGACTAAGAAACCAAATTTAAAGCCTGGTAATTCCTGATATTTTATAACTCATGACAGTGTGCATTTCGATTCATTTCATTTGAATGAAATCCTATATTTGCATAGAGACTAGTCTTTTCCCTGTTAAATAAACCACGATGAATTTCCATGCTGGTTTGGTGTTGGTCAAGAAGATGATGGACCAGCATAGCCATGGTGTTGACCAGCAACATGGTCTTTTGATGAAGCTGCTTGACCTAGGAAGGCTCTCTGGTTAAGCCTTATCCAAAGGCTGGTGTCTTTTCTGTATATTTTGGATGTTTATCAAATTATCAAGTTGAACTTGAATGATATACATTACATATGCATTCGCTTACCTTTTTTACATTTTGACAGAAATCCAAGATGACATCAGAGATCAGCCAACTGTCATTAAGTGAGCTTCCCATGGACGACTGGATGGCCCATCTACCCAGTGCACTGCGGGATACCCCTCTCTGTTACATGGCCATTCCTGGTATTTAACCTCACATTTTCATTTATACATTCACTAATTGCATGCAAACTGCTTTTTCTTGTTTGGCATGTTTGAGTACTGAAAATTTAAATTTTAGTGGGACTTTGACTTTTTATGTGTTTTCAATGAGTACCCACAATTCTTTTTATGGCTTAAATGTAATATTAATCCACAATTTTGAATTGAAAGTGGGAATATTGTTATATTAGGAGGGTGCCACTATTAACTGATTAGAGTGAACACAGTTTCTTCCTTTTTTTTACAGTCTGCCTATATTATCTTATCTATATTATAGTGCTCACAGTCATAGTGTCATTGTCTTGGGTTCGTAGGGAGCCATAATGCCATAACCTACTGTCTGGATAAGAATGACCGGTCTCCAGTGGACCTCACTCAACCGGATATGTTGCAAAAGCTGGACAAATACATGAAGCCCATCATAAGGCCATTTGTATACAAGTGGGCAATAACACAGGTACTGTATGTTGTCGCAGATTGTCGTCATTGACCCATTTTTCGGATAAGGCTTTTTTTTATTTCAGTAAAATTAATATAATAATCACCATTACATGTTTTTTCATATATGTTCTTGCATTTTCAATTGGATTACTTGGAATCATTTTGGAAAATGGTTGCACAATTCACATTTTCAGTTACAGTTATTGTAAACCATCTGAGTTCATTGAAAGCCTTGTTGTCCTTCATATAGTGAAACACAAAATCACTAATGCTATATCAGAAAATGCATGATTAAATTCTTTATATCCAGAAGTGCTGACTTTTTCATATTTGAATGGCTAAACATGTACGTAAACTGCAATTATGCTGGTTATGGTATCAAATACTTCATGAGGTTATAGACCATTGTATGTCAGCATGCATCAGCAGATTCCCTTAGAGCATGAGTCTCTGAAATCAATTAGCATGAGGAAATCAATCAAACACTCATGGCTTTGCTACAGTGAAAGCTCTGAAAGCACAATTAGTTATGGATAGTTATGACAAAAGTAACACTGATGGATGAGCACATTGTCCCAAATCTGTAGGTGAGATAGAGCATTGTGTTTTTACAGAAATGGTTATTTCACTTTCAGTGGTTTCACTGACGCTGTTTGTAATAGCTAGCTGTTCAGCACTATCTTTACTGCACCTGCATTGTTAATGATTGTGCTTTACATTATTTACCATAGGAGTCTAGCATTAGGGAGCAGTTGGATTCTGGAGTGCGATACTGTGACCTGAGGATAGCACATCGGCCTAATGACAGCTCAAATGATCTCTACTTCTACCATGGTGTTTATACCACTATAACTGTGGAGGTAAGACAACTGACTACACAAATTTATGAAAACAATTGATTAAACATTTAAAAGTCTTAGCACAGCATTTTCCATCTTGTCTATTTGTTGTGTAATTTGATAAGTGCAGTGGTTCTAATCTGTTGAGTTTGATGTTTGAAGAATATAAACAAATGCTTTTTCATTGAATCGAACCAATTTCTTGTGTTATTTCAGATGGTATTAAAAGAGATCAGAGAGTGGTTGGATGTTCATCCACAGGAAGTAGTCATACTCTCATTTAGCCACTTCCTGGGCCTTAGTCAAGAGCTTCACACACTGCTCGTCTCAACTATAAAGAGTGTTTTTGATTCCAAACTGTGCCCCAAAATGGTGCGCATCAGTTTTTAATGATTTAATTTTAGAAACAGATGATGAGAAGTGGCATCCGTAACAATATATTTCCAATATATTACTATATTGATTCAAATAAATTATGAAAAATCATAAAAACATACTTCTGATTTTTCTGATAGGAGTGTGTGACACTACGGAAATTATGGAGCCAGGGTCATCAAGTTATCGTTTCATACGAGCACAATATTGCCAACTGCCACAGAGAATTGTGGTTCCAGATACCTTATTGGTGGGCAAACAAGTGCAAGGCTGAAGCGCTGATCGAGGAATTTGAACGTAGGAAACAATATGGCCGACCGGGTAATCATTAATATGCCATTAATTTTTTAAATATATTTTATTCATTTTTTATATTTAATTTTATTAATTATTCTCTTGATTCAAGTGAAAAATGTGAAAAATTTCACTTGGAAAAGTGAAAATGTTTCCTGTAACATTAAGCTTTTATTTTTTAATTTATTCTTGGAAAAGTTCAATTGAACATCAGTTATCATGTGCATCATTTTCCACAGGCGGCTTCTTTGTGACTGGGATCAATCTTACTGAAGATCTGAAGTACATATGCTCCCATCCCACAGAATCCCTGAAGGATATGGTGATGTCTACATATCCCACGTTACTTAGCTGGGTCAAGCAACAGAAGCCTGGCTCTAACACTGGCTCCCTCAACATCATAGCCGGGGACTTTGTGACAGAGAGCCTGTTCATACCAACCGTCATTGCACTGAATGAAAATCTTCTCAAGAGGACCATAATACCAGAGCCTTGAGCCTCTATTAGCTGCACAATGTCTTTAACATTTGAAGAAAGGAGTGTTTCTTGTTCTTGTGATGGTTTTTTATACTAGTCAACTTTGCACTTTTTGTAAGGGTGCTTACACACTAGAGTTTATGCTGCGTCAGCTCCATTCATTTCAGTATGGATGATGGTGCACTGCAAGGACGTAGAGGAAATACACAAGGGTTTGTGAAACCAATGCGCCATCATGCAACCAAAAGTACTTACCATACCCTCAAAATGGATCACTTGCACTTTCCTGTCCGCCAAATGCTCCGACAGAGCGGTTTCTAGTGTGTAAGCAAGCACCCTGAGGATGATAGATCATTTTGAGTTATTGGTAGAATATTGTAATGCACTGACTTTTATGACTTTAACTTATTGTCTTAAGCTTATTTATGCAGTCTCCGCTATATACCTCTGATTTTGCAAAAATGTTGATCATTTTTAAGAACCTGGTTCCAAATGGATGTCATTATCAAGGTCCAGGTTACAACAACTTTTATCTACAGTACTACTCCAGACACAAGCACATTACAGGACACAATAAGTTCCCTGTGAGCATCAGAGTTTGCATGAGAATTGCTACAGCTTTTGCTGAAAGTCTACTCAATGCAAGCCTGCATAAACATAAGATTATCAAACACTCAGGATTGTTCATTCTCTGTGGAATGGCTATGGAAATATGATTCCAATAAATACATGTCTGCATGGTGCACAATCAAAAGCATGAAAAGACACTGGAATATTTCTGTGGTTGCACATGTTCTCTGCCATAGTAGCATGCCATTTAAGCCAGTTGAATCAAGATATCAGTTTGCATCACAAACAAATATGCATATACTAACACAAATATCAACAGTTGAATTGCATATCAAATACTCATATTTAATATCTGAAGATTTCCAATAAATAAAACATCAAACAATATTTAAAGAATTGTGTTTTGAGTTATTAAAAATGAAGTCTTCTCTGGCACACAAACAAAAGCAAGAATTAGCTGACATGGAAAGCAGCATTTCACTGCGCTTGTTTCATTGATTATGGAGCGTGCTGAAAGACTTAAGTCAAAGTTAACCTTTGATAATGGAGTTTTGTGTCTTTTCTACCTCAAAGATGATAAAACGATGAAAGGTCACCAGATTACTAAACCATGGCAACTTGCAAGTAAATAACATTAATATTGTGTTGCCATATTTCTAAAGGGAATATCTGCCTTTCCTACATATGCTCTTATCAAACTTGATTTTTTTTTTTAAATAGCTTTTAACATAATATTACCACTAGCTGTCATTTTGATTAGAGAAAGGAAAATTAATGGTAACATTCTAATAACAGCCTAATGTTATAAAACAAAATTAACATCAAATGTTTATCTTTTGTGAAAGTAGTATTTATCCAAAATATGAAGTCTTATATGATGGGGGAATAAAGACGTACTGCGTAACAGGAATGACCTGTGATCAAGTAAGATCTGTTTTGGGGCGGTTTAACTCTGTTCTGCAATCAGCTGTAAAGCGTGACAGACCGAAGCAGCAGGGAACAAGGAAATGCTGAGCTGACACGTCAATAGACATTCATGATGCATGTGCAAGAATGATCGTAACACTTCTAAAATCCTTTTAATTTCGTAAAACATGGAGTTCACTAACCGCTGAGGTTGTGTGGTCACCTTTACAAAGAGTTAGGCTTTGAGCCGTATTATCGACGATGATGTGTTATCTGTTGTTTTCCTCAAACGCGGACCGGTTCAGCTGATCAACTCACTTTGTTTTCAAACGCAGCCATTTGGATTCATTTGTAAAGAGCTACTGCTTTTATATGATCCAGTGAACTGATGGCTCACATTAAGAAGGATGACATTAATCGTGAGGACTGGATGTCATGTTTGCCAGAGAAACTGTGGGATGTCCCTTTAACACGTCTCTCAATACCAGGTGAGCCCCTATGGAAGCTTTCCGCCACGGAATAAAAGCAACTTTTAAAAAAAAGAATTTAGTTATAAACTCGCTTTTGACTTTTGTTCTCAGAATTCTACATTACATCTTACAATTTTGAATTATTTGGCTTAATTATGAGTTTACATCTCGCAATTCTCCCCCCCCCCCCCCCCTCGGATTTCTTGTTTACATTACAACTTACATTACAACTTTTTATCTCACAATTCTGACTTTTTCTCGCTCGAATGAATGAATTCATTTATGTATTCATTTATTTAGTTAGTGGTGGAAATGAGCCTCCCCTGTGGAACACAAGGAAAGTTTCAATTACATCGTTTTTTTTGTTCAAATGAAAATAAATGTATTTATTAAATTATATTATTTATGTAATTGTATAATATTTTACGATTTATCATATTATTGCATAGAACATGTGTTTTGTATGTGAAACATCCTTATCAATGCAGACAATTAATGAACCTATTAATAAGACAATTAATGAATTTGTTTTCAGGTAGCCATGATGCAATGAGCTACTGTCTGGATCTCACTTCTCCACTGCTCCGATCTGAGTCAGACACATTGAGGTTACTGGATGGAGTTTTCTGCTGTTTCACCCGGCCAGCTATTCACAGATGGGCTACTACTCAGGCAGGCATATACTTCACTTAAAGAGTTAGTTCACCCAAAAATGAAAATTCTGTCATTAAAGGGGTCATATGATGCTTTCTTAAAGATCATTATTTTGTGTATTTGGTGTAACAGAATATGTTGACATGCTTTAATGTTCAAAAAACTCATTATTTTTCATATACTGTACATTATTGTAGGTCCTCTATGCCCCGCCTCTCTCAAATGCTTCGTTTTCTACAAAGTCCCTCCTTCCGACAAGCACAGTCTGCTCTGATTGGCCAGCTGACCCAGTGCATATGAAGCTACGAGAATACTTTTTGTGCTCAAAAGAAGAACAAAAAAGACGACTTTATTCAACAATTCGTTTGAAATAAAATAGTTTTTTTTTTCTTTTGCGCACAAAGTATTCTCGTAGCTTCGTATAATTACGGTTGAACCCCTGATGTTACATGGATTATTTTACAGATCTCCTTGCTACATTTCTGGACTTGGGAACATTTCAGTTGCGTTGCGTCTATGCAGGGTCAGACAGCTCTCAGATTCCATCAAAAATATCATAATTTGTGTTCCAAAGATGAACGAAGGTCTTACGGGTTTGAAACGACATGAGGGTGAGTAATTAATGACAGAATGTTCATTTTTGGGTGAACTAACCCTTTAATGGTTATTTTGACTGCTTACAAAGCTTAATATTTCATAGCAGAGACAGAACAAATGTCTATCCCATAGCGCTCATAGAGTCAGTTTACGTCTTGTACAAATTAATGCATTTTTACATGAGAAATGTATTTGTATCATATCAAAGCCCCTTACTCTGTTGCAAACAGGTGCAAAACATTGTGGAGCAACTTGCAGCAGGCATTCGATACTTTGATCTTCGAATTGCCCACAAACAGTATGATTCTTCCAATGAGCTTTACTTCACTCATGTCATTTACACACATGCAATGGTGCAATGGTTTATATAGATGAGTGTTGAGATGAATTAGCTATTAAAGTTGGTCATTTATTCTTTTTTTGTGCATTTTCTGATTTTCTGCCATGTTTTGTTTTGTAGGAAACTCTACAGACTGTTGCTTCATGGCTTGAATCACATCCCAAAGAAATCATCATTCTAGCTTGTAGACATTTTGAAGGGCTGAATTATAAAATGCATGAGGAATTCATCTATTCTCTGAAAAAAATCTTTAGCTCTAAACTGTGCCCTCGCGACGTGAGAAATCATTTGGAATTTTTAAACATAAATTAATATTTTTTTTTCCTTAATAGCATTATGATAGCAAATTAATACACCCCCTGTCAAAAGTTACCTATTTATTTATGTTTTTGAAAGTCACCAAGGCTGCATTTATTTGATCAAAAATGCAGCAATTACAAAACAAAGAACTGTTTTCTACTTTAATATATTTTTAAAATGACATTTATTTCTGTATTGGTAAAGCTGAATTTTCAGCATCATTACTCCAGTCTTCGGTGTCACATGATCCTTCAGAAATCATTCTAATATGCTGATTTGGTGCTTTCTTGTTTTTACCAATGTTGAAAAAAATTGTGCTGCTTTAAATTTTTGTGAAAACTAAGATTAAAAAAGAAAACTTTCATGTAGCAAGGACACATTAAATTGATCAAAAGCTACAGTAAAGACATTTATGTTACAAAATATTTCAAATAGATGTGGAATCCTGAAAAAAAAATGTATCGCCTTTTATACAAAAATATTAAGAAGCAAAAACTATTTTCAACACTGACAGTAATAAGAACAACTATTAATAACTGAGCATCAAATCAGCATATAAGAAGGATCGTGTGACACTGGAGTAATGGCTGCTGAAAATTCTTTTGCGCACAGAGTATTCTCGTAGCTTCGTATAATTACGGTTGAACCCCTGATGTTACATGGATTATTTTACAGATCTCCTTGCTACATTTCTGGACTTGGGAACATTTCAGTTGCGTTGCGTCTATGCAGGGTCAGACAGCTCTCAGATTCCATCAAAAATATCATAATTTGTGTTCCAAAGATGAACGAAGGTCTTACGGGTTTGAAACGACATGAGGGTGAGTAATTAATGACAGAATGTTCATTTTTGGGTGAACTAACCCTTTAATGGTTATTTTGACTGCTTACAAAGCTTAATATTTCATAGCAGAGACAGAACAAATGTCTATCCCATAGCGCTCATAGAGTCAGTTTACGTCTTGTACAAATTAATGCATTTTTACATGAGAAATGTATTTGTATCATATCAAAGCCCCTTACTCTGTTGCAAACAGGTGCAAAACATTGTGGAGCAACTTGCAGCAGGCATTCGATACTTTGATCTTCGAATTGCCCACAAACAGTATGATTCTTCCAATGAGCTTTACTTCACTCATGTCATTTACACACATGCAATGGTTGTTGTAAGTATATAGATGAGTGTTGAGATGAATTAGCTATTAAAGTTGGTCATTTATTCTTTTTTTGTGCATTTTCTGCTTTCTAAACATGTTTTGTTTTGTAGGAAACTCTACAGACTGTTGCTTCATGGCTTGAATCACATCCCAAAGAAATCATCATTCTAGCTTGTAGACATTTTGAAGGGCTGAATTATAAAATGCATGAGGAATTCATCTATTCTCTGAAAAAAATCTTTAGCTCTAAACTGTGCCCTCGCGACGTGAGAAATCATTTGGAATTTTTAAACATAAATTAATATTTTTTTTTCCTTAATAGCATTATGATAGCAAATTAATACACCCCCTGTCAAAAGTTACCTATTTATTTATGTTTTTGAAAGTCACCAAGGCTGCATTTATTTGATCAAAAATGCAGCAATTACAAAACAAAGAACTGTTTTCTACTTTAATATATTTTTAAAATGACATTTATTTCTGTATTGGTAAAGCTGAATTTTCAGCATCATTACTCCAGTCTTCGGTGTCACATGATCCTTCAGAAATCATTCTAATATGCTGATTTGGTGCTTTCTTGTTTTTACCAATGTTGAAAAAAATTGTGCTGCTTTAAATTTTTGTGAAAACTAAGATTAAAAAAGAAAACTTTCATGTAGCAAGGACACATTAAATTGATCAAAAGCTACAGTAAAGACATTTATGTTACAAAATATTTCAAATAGATGTGGAATCCTGAAAAAAAAATGTATCGCCTTTTATACAAAAATATTAAGAAGCAAAAACTATTTTCAACACTGACAGTAATAAGAACAACTATTAATAACTGAGCATCAAATCAGCATATAAGAAGGATCGTGTGACACTGGAGTAATGGCTGCTGAAAATTCAGCTTTATCTTTAAAATATATTAAAATAGATATTTTAAATTGTAATAATATTTCACAATATTACTGTTTTTACAGTGTTTGTGTTCAACTAAATGCAGCCTTGGTGAACATAAGAAACATTTAATTATACCAGTTTTTGCCTGCCGTACATACTGTATATAAAAACATTATGAAGTTTCTGCTAACATTTGAAACTGCAACAGGCTTGAAATCTGTTACTGTTTTGTATTATACACATTCTTAAAGGAGGCCCTATTGACCTTGCGGAGTCTGTGGACATCAGGGTATCAAGTTGTGCTGTCATATGACGACCAGTCAGCATCACGCCATAAGGAGTTGTGGCCTGCTATCCCATACCTTTGGGCCAATAAGCCTAACGCAGAAGAGCTGATCTACTATCTCGAATGCCAGAAACGACTTGGTCGACCTGGTGAGAAAAGCTTTTGTTTGGTTATACCTGAAAAGAAAAAAAAAAGAGGGTTCCTCATACCTCTGGTCTCTGATCAGCATATTTCTATTTCACAGAGGGTTTTTTTGTAGCAGGCCTGAATTTAACGACAGATCGATGCTTCATCGCCTCACATCCTCGGGTGTCTCTCCGAACTCTGACCATGGAGAACTGGAACCACGTGAAGAAATGGCTAGGAGATCAGAAACCAGGAGCTGAACCCACATGTCTAAACATAATAGCAGGCGACTTCATTGGTCCTGTACCATTTTGTTCGCTTGTTATTGCGCTCAACAAAAAACTGCTTTAAGGAGCTGTTGAAGTAAAATGGGCTTATATGTGAAGTCTTTGTTACATGTGAAGGCATTGTTTAAGGAATCATTTGGGTCACAACCCAAGGTTTACAAACTTAGCATGTTTTCTAGTGATCTAAAGTGTATTCAGACTAATGCCTAAATGAGACAATGTGCAATATTCAATCCTTAGTATGTTTACATGTGCCTTTTACTGTATAATTCTGCTTGATGAATTAAGCAGCCTTTTAAAAATTTGTATCAAGCTTTGAGAGTTAAAACTTAAAAATGTTTTGACAGACATGTATTTTCTATCAATATTGTTCATATATTAGCACAAATCGACTTCGTTTCTTAATGTCTGATTTTTATTGTATTCAACTATTGGTTTTGAGATATTTGAACGACACTGTTTATAAAGCAAATAAATATTTAAACATCATTATTGCACTGAGTGTGGGAATTATTTTGGATGATGACTGTAAAACAGGGGCCATCTGTTACTAGGTGACCTGAAACAGCTTCCTGTAGCGGCCATATGCAGCTTGGCTAATGATGACCTTGACATTGGCGGTGCAGTCGTCTCCCACATCATCTACTGCCTGAACCGTCGCCTCCTTATACAGCCAACTGTGAAGGGAAAAGTGCACCAAATTAAAAAGTCTGTGGATAAGATAATATATTCCCTTAAAATTTTTTACATAAAACTTACGCTAACTGAGGGCTGTTGAGCTGCACTTTAAGGGTCATTATTTGTTTGCCGGTATACTTAACAACAGCTTCTTCAATCTTTTCTTTTAATACCTCCAGTCCATGCTGTTTCAGAGCTGATATAGGAATAACCTCAGGATCACTGACCTCAAATCTATGGAACATGTATAAAACATTTATTTTTCTAAAATAAAAATGTGTTTGGGCGTGTTACGTTTGAAAGTATTCGGTACTAAATTAAATTGCTACACAAATCAGGTAAAAGATGTCTCACCCTTCAAGGAGGTCAATCTTATTGTGCACCTCTATTATGGAGTTCAATAGTTTTTCTGGAATCTGTAGATTCTTTAGTACATTCAGTACATTGACCTTTTGATTCACAGTTTCTGGATGACTGATGTCTCTCACATGAATTATGAGGTCCTGCAAAAGGAGAGGGTGTTAAAACATTTCTATAACATTACTAAAAATGAAAAGCTTTTTAGTGTTGTGTCTTGGGTACATACAGAATGTGTTACATCCTCCAGCGTGGCAGAGAAAGAGTCAATAAGTTGGTGAGGGAGCTGGGACAAGAAGCCAATGGTGTCAACATAAAGTACAGTCATGTGACTTGGCAGCTGTCCTGCATGTACTGTAACATCCAGGGTGGCAAAGAGCTGATCTCTAGGCTGGAGACCAGCATCTCCAGTCAGTGCTTTAATCAGGGTTGTTTTACCTTTAGAAACAAAGACTGTTAATGTGTATCTTACAATCTCATACAATAGTTTAACAGGTTAATATTTATCCAAACCTCACCACAGTTAGTGTAGCCCATGACAGAGACGATGGGAAAGTCTCTGTGTTTGCGCTGGGAGCGCAGAAGGTGCCTCTTTCTCCTAAGCCGCTCCAGGGCTGATTGAATCTTTAGCTCTCGCTCCTTCAATAATCGCTGCTGCATTTCAAACAGGGTTTCACCTGTAAATATATTTGAACTCCAGTTAAACATAATAAACCTTGGGCTTAAAAACGACCCTAGATTAAATGTTTCAAGTGTGACAAGCCCATTTTAGTCCTTACCTGAGCCCATAATGTACCTTGAGCCGCCACCTTGCTGGTCTAAGTTAGCGACTTCATTTCTCAGGCGTGATCTTATGTGTTCAAAGAACAAAATATGTTGGTAAATCTGTGTTAACATTAATGGTAAATGTTTATTTATTATTGAGATATAAAAGCAATATCACACTAATACGAGCAACATTGAACAAACTCACCATGGACATCAACTTTTATTGAGTTGGAAAGTACACTACCATTTAAAAGTTTGTGTTTTATTTTTTTAAGAAATTCAAATTTTCATTCGGTAAGGAGGCATTAAATTGATCAAAAGTACCAATAAAGTAATTTCTAATGTTGAAGACTGGGGTAGTGGCTGCTGAAAAACCAGCTTTATTCCATCACATGATTTACATTTTAAAATGTATTAAAATATAAAACAGTTATTTTAAATGGTATATTTTTTTAATTATGTATTTACTATATTTATGCCCAAATAAATGCAGTCATGGAGAGCATTAGAATCTTCTTTAAAAATAGTATCAACTTCAAACTTTTGAACTGGAGTGTTTGCTAGGAAAGAATTGTTGATTTCATCAGGAAACAATATAGATTATAAAAATAGTATATAACTTATATAATTTACCTGAGCAAGGGAATCTCTGCCAAAGAGATTTGCAGTTTGGCCTCTTTTGTTCTAGCATTACAGCGGAAAATATGCAAAACAAGTGAGTATCTATCAAGAACCTTTACTCCCCAGGCTTCCTGCAATTCTTTCTGAAACACAAGTGTAACATTGCATGTTTCTTAGAAAAAAAATGACTAACACTTTAATTACGACTATATTCAAAGAAGAACTTCTTATGATTATACTATAGCCACAGTGAATCTAGTACTATTTTTAGAAATGATATAGATTAGATTCTTCATGAATCATGATAGTCCAAATAGATTTTCATGGTCTTTTGTGCACACATTTTAAAACCCTTAGAAGTGAATTGATGCAATCACAGTATAATGCTCTGAATACTCACTTCCGATGAAGGTGAAAGACATTCTACGTTCACAAAAACAGCTGTGACCCCAGGAATAGCTCTGATCTTCTCTTAGAAATATCAAAGAACAGAGAAAACATGTCAATTTGTGCCTAAAATACCTATTTATTCAAAACTAGCAAGCTACATACCTGTAAGAGCCTGGAAGTTTCCCTTGCCAAAAATTCTTCTCTTCTCTGGTGTCTTGGTGGAGAGGATGATCTTATCAACAACACTCCAGTTATACAAAGTGTTCACCAGACCCACAGCTTCTTCCATCTGAAGTGCCGCTGTCAAAGGAGCAACTTTGTATTATGTAAAATGTCACATGTATCCAATGATTAAAATCAGTGTATAATTTTACCTGTGGTCAGATATTGCTTTCTGCTGCCCCATTTCACATCAGGATGCACAATGAAGACCCTGTGTTCTTCTTCACTGATACCTGCGGGGATCTGCTGCTGGAACAGCTCCTCTATTTCTGCCTCATCAATTTCATCTTCTAGACTGTTGTTATCTGTGTTGTGATTTTTGCTCTTAAACATGCAAGCTGTCAAAGACAAAGTCCTTGCTGGCAGAACTGGAACTGCAACCGCAGCTCTTAAATTTGGTCTTGGACATGGGAACATGGTAACAACTAATTTTGAGGTACATTGAAAAAATCTGATTGGTTTACATGTCGCAAAAGTCATGTAGCTTCTACCAAGGACATGTTCAGCACATAATTTTCTCCATGCATATCTGCACAAAAACACATGGTTGGTCAGGATACTGATCTTGTTGAGATTCATTTTTGCTCAGGTTTTGGTTACAACAATTTAATCAAAGTCCAAATCATGCGTCCAACATCCAACGTTTTCGTTAGTAGAAACGTTTAGCGCACCCTAGGGAGAAATCAACAAGAAAAACATTATTTTACTGTACAACTAACTCAGCATGTTTTGATCCGTCTTCCTCTCTTGTGTTTAACACGGGCGTTTGCTCAACTGCGCCACCGGTAGGATAGGTGCGGTATTAGTTTTTGTATTTTTGTAAATACACGTTTATTTTAACTCCACGTATTGTATTATATCAGAAGCAAGCTGAGAAGAAATGTTAGTATGTATGCTTTGTAAAGTGGTTTAACATAATCTGTTCCACAGAGAGAGACAGGAAAAAGACTTCCAACCGAGGACTTTTATTTTGAATGTATTTTAGTGGGCGGAGATTGTCCTGCATTGCTATTACTGTACTGTGTGTGTTCCAAGCATACAGTCTATGGTTCCAAGCAATATATCAATGTCTGGTATCTTTTATTCTAAGGCAATGTCGAGTGAGTATATTTTTTATATTCAGAGTGGGACAATGTTCAGATCATGTTATTTGATATAGTTTAGTTGGTGATTATCTAAAAGTAGCATATTAACATGCTTGATTTCACTTTGCATTGAGCAGTTCACACTGTCAAGCTGTGGATTAAGTGTGAAATGTTTGACCCTAAAAACAGATATCATTTGATCATTTATCATCGTTTTGACTGCAGATGTGGTTCATACAGATCATGTTTTGACTGTGCATTTAACTTAAATCACCCAAAACTACAATGAAACAGAAACATGTTTTTGTTTTGACTGCACCTCCCTTGACAGAAGAACAAAAGTGCAGAGAATTCCGAAACAAAAACCTGCAAAGGAGGCTGCTGGTTAAAAGTGGACAGAGTTGTGAATCATTGATCCTGCAGCAGCTAATAACTAAACAATTGATCTTCTGCCGTCTAGAGTTTAGTCTGGCTGTGGTTCAGTTACGTGTGTCAAAGATCAAGGCGGACAACTTGGGAAGAGCACAAAAACTTGTGAAGGAGGCTGCAGGACAAGGTGCAAAAGTTGTAGTCTTACCTGTGAGTATTACATTCTATATCTTGGGTTATGACTACTATATTAATATTGGTTTATAAAAAAAAATATGGCATTTAATAATCCATTATATATGTTTGTTTGCAGGAGTGCTTCAACTCCCCTTATGGAACCGGGTTCTTTGCTGAGTATGCTGAGAAGATCCCAGGAGAGTCCACACGGGTGTTGTCGGAGGCAGCCAGGGATTGTGGGGTCTATTTAGTGGGCGGTGAGACCCTCAGACACAAACCAGCATGTTAGTGTGTTTGATGCCATTTATTTTCATGTCCCTTACATGACTGTGTCTTTGTTGTATAGGTTCCATTCCTGAGAAGGATGGAGAAAAGCTCTATAACACCTGCTCAGTTTTTGGACCTGACGGAAAGCTGCTT